ACACACACACACACACACACACACACACACACACACACACACACACAAACACACACACATACACAACGGGAAAACCCCGAAATCAAAACAGTCACTAAAGACACACCTTACTCCCTCCTCTTTTCCGTCTAGCCCCTGGAAGCCACTCACCTATTTCTATCCTAAGCACCGTTCTAAGGCATATCCATGTCTTAGTATACACCAGGGCTTTCTTTTTGTGATCTGTTGACTGTATTTTCTGGATTTGCCCATTTGTTCCACTTGTCAGTTGATAGACATTTAACCTGTTTCTGTTTCCTGTCATTACGAATGCTGCTGTAGACACGGGACGTAACCACACAGGCAACACATAGACATGTTTTCATTCTGACAGACACAGAAGTGGGACCCTGGGTTGTAGCTGGGATCTTCCCATTGCCTGAAATGACTGCAGCATCAGAGTTCTGGTTTCTTTGCGTCTAAAACACAGTGGTTACCTCTTTTTCCCTAGCAAACCTAAGGGGTATGAGCAGAGTGTATCGAAGCACTGGGGCTTCGATCTGCATTTTCCTGATGACCAGGAATATGGTCATTGTGCATCTTCTAGAAGAACTGTTAATTCCTCCTTTTGTTCTTTTTGTTTTGTTTTGTTTTACTTACTACTTTTTATTCACTTATTTGAGGCAAGATCTCATGTAGCCCAGGCTGGTCTTGAACTCATCATGTAGCTGAAGATGACCTTGAACTCCTGCTCCCAGGGATCACAGACATGTGCCCTGCTCCAGCTTTTGAGGCTCTGCTGGTGACAGTTGTAATCTAGAGGTGAGCAGGGTCTCTGGAGGTGTGTTTATTGATCTCCCCCTTCATCCACCCTGCCCTGCAGGATGAAATTTGTGGGGGAAATGTGAAGTTACTTAAGAGGTTAAAGTGGCAGATGATTTGCTGTGCCCTTCACGGCAAAGGAATTTACCTTGATTCTGACAGTCACGTAGCTCCCTCATTGCTTCTGCCAGGATAGACTTGGAGCTTCCTATGTTGTCCTTCTCCTTCATTTTAGCAGTGGCTGTTTCACAACTGGCAGGAAAACATCTGTCTTCCATAAGCTCCCAGGCTGCAGCCAAGTGACTGGAATTTTCCTTCTTCAGCCTAGCCAGGAGCATCCAGGCCCTGGGCCTACAGCCAAAGAAATGTTGATTTTCAGCTCTCCCCAGCCCCCACTTGCGACATATTAGCTTGGGGTGGGGGGTGGGGGGTGGGAGAAAGGCACGGATTTCATTAGAGGAGGCCTTCAGTGAGGCAGGCTTTAGGGATGTTCAAAGGGCGTGAAGGGAGAGGGCTGTTTGGCTTTTGGCTGTGGCTCTGACGTGGGACAGTGAGGTGCTGCAAACTATTATCCTGGGCTAGGGAGACTTGCAGACCCAGGTAAATTCCAGTACTCCTAACTCTAAGCAGGAGGTGGAGACCTTGGGATAAGTTTTGGCCTTGGGGCAACTCTTGACCCCTGGAAGTCTCTCTACCTAACAGTCACCCAGCCCTGAAGTAACTTGATCCTTAAGGTTTTAGTGCCGCCCACTTCAGTACCCAGCCAATTCCCTACAGTAAGGCCTTCTAGAGACAAACCCACCAACAGGAAAAGGAAACTCCTAGAGAAAGGGCGGGCCTACAGAACCAGGGTCGCAAGCAGCAACCATCCTCCAGACGTTGCGGTTGTCCCAGAGTCAATACCATGAGCCACAATTCCCAAGCCTTCTTGCCCCCCAATACCGGACTTCCTCCAAGCTATGAGACGATCAAAGAGGAATATGGGGTGACAGAGCTGGGGGAACCCCACAACTCAGCTGTTGTGCGAACCACGGTGATCAACATGCCCAGAGAGGTCTCTGTGCCCGACCATGTGGTCTGGTCCCTGTTCAATGCACTCTTCATGAACTTCTGCTGCCTGGGTTTCATAGCCTACGCCTACTCAGTGAAGGTGAGTGCGGGAGAGGTGGGAGTGACAGTGTAGGAAGCTGTGTGTCAGCCTGAAGCTCCATCTACCCGATGGCACCGAGGTGGGGGGTTCTTTGTGTAAGAGTAGATTTGTCTGCACCCTTCGTGTGTGTCTGTCTGTCTTGGAGACTTTCTGATAGTCACAGGATGAGACTACCTGGGGATTCTGGGGCTAGACTTTCTGTACCCCATTCCTGGAATGTCTCTTCACCCTTTACACTGGGGCCCTAAGCTGTGTGGAAAGTGGGGTGTGCGGCCAGTCCTGGGAGTTTGTATGTGTGAAGAGAGAGGATGGTTTCAAGGGAGTGAGGCTGTGTGCACGGAGGACACGGAGGAATTGAGTCAGAGCACCTGGCTCTCAGCTAGCCAGTGCCAGGGCCCCTTACCATCTGGTTTCCTTCAGTCCAGGGACAGGAAGATGGTGGGCGATGTGATTGGAGCCCAGGCCTACGCCTCCACTGCCAAGTGCCTGAACATCAGCTCCTTGATCTTCAGCGTCCTTATGGTCATTATCTGCATCATTATTGTCTCTACCACCTCTGTGGCAGTCTTTCAAGCCTTTTCACAAAGAATACCACATTCTGGATTCTAATCCTGCCCTGTGCTCCACTGTCCACATCTGACCCTACCCCTGTGCTGAGGCCTTGACCCTACGCATTTATTTGCAAATGTTACCTTCGCATGTTTGTCCGCTGTGGATTCAATAAAGTGTGCATAGTGGCAACTCTGGCTGTGGCTCTGTTCTCTGGATCTGAACCAAGCTCCCCCTGCACCCTTCCTGTTTGGGAGCACGACCTTAACTTGGCAGACTTCTGGTTTCCTGATCAGCAGATGACTAGCATCCTGTGTGGGTTTTCGGTTGTTCTAGGCAAAGAGGATCTGATTATCATTCAAACCTGACACCATCTCCCTAAGGGTGCCCAGGAAGGGTGCAGAACCCTGAGGAAAGGAGGCTTCAGTCCAGGAGCGGAAGACACCCAGAGTCCTTTACTTTAAGAGAAAAGAAACTTTTGGCCAAGATACGCTGTGTCCTCATTGTGTGGTGGCCTCTTGGATATGACTAAAGATTCCTCGGGCTGAGCTGTATACAGCTAGTTCAGAACTGCTGTAGAGGTTGGTACCCTTTACTCCTTATCCCACACAAGAAGGAGACCAGGAGCACTTCATACAGAGACCTGGAGGGGGTGGGGATTCAGGAATGCCTCTTTTGGTCTCTGAGCAGTAGGGAGGACCAAATGACAGCAAGCTCTGCTGGGGTCACAGCTCCTATGTTCCATCTCACCTGAGGTGATGCCGTCTGCCTTGGCGCCCTGCTAACCTGTTACAGCATCCCAGTTCATTCTTTTTAAAGGGTACCCCTTTCTGCCTACGTAAGCCTGGCACCTGAAAATCAGACTGGGCTTCCTATGTCTGAAGGATTTGGTCCTGTCTCATAGCTCCTTGCTCCCCTGACCACCATGATGATTCAAATGTATCCAGAATTCCAGAAGTGGCACAGTGAGTCCTAGGTGCAAACAAGGAGGCACTGTGTGCCTCCAGCAAGAGGAAGGCCTGTTTAGTTTTTTTGTTGTTTTGTTTTTTTTATAGGAAGTACGAGCAGCTGCTCGGAAGAGGCTGGCTCCATGCTGAGGCCTGCAAGTTTGGGGAGTTCCTTCAGTCTTTTAGAGCTCTTAACATGATTTTGACATGAGAGATTTTCACAAGTCAGCAGGAAGAAGTTGGAGTTTATTCAAAACAGAAAGGTGCCCTTGGTAAAATACAGAGCAGGATACATACATACTCAAGAGCAGGTGTGTGGACTGCGGGCTCACTGCTAAGCGTTTTAAGGGTGATCATATGTAGGTTTTGGACATTTTTGGAATTTTATTGCTTAACAGGTTTCTAAGGAACTCTTCCCTCCTCTGTCCTCATTTCAGTACCTGAGGCTATACAGTGACTACGCAGGTCCTTTGGATGGGACCACAGGCTGAAGGTAAAACCAGAGGCGGCTAGAAAGTGGCAGGTCTACAGTTTGCAGAAGAGGGGCCTTCAGGAAATGCTGATTATGTTGGAGTTCTTGACTTAAAGCTGGTGAGCATCTTCCAGGGTGAGGAATGCTTTTCCTTCCCAGGGATACATGGAGCCCAGGGAGCTGAGTCGTGTTTAAGTGGGGAGACTTAGGACAGCCTGAGTCCAGACTGAGGGTGACTATCATAGGAAGGAGTCAAACAGAACCTCCTGGAGCCCTGAGGACCACATGGGAAGAGATTCACCTGCTCAGTGCATAGCCACTAGGGAAAACAGGTCATACTCAATACCCTGGGTCCCCAAAGGGCTGGGGACTTTCTTGGACCCAGGGCAGTTCCTTCACCATGAGGGAGAACGTCTTAGGTTCAGCGGTTTGGTCCTGAAATCTCAGGGTCTGTCCTATCTATTACCAGGAGGTCACAGTCAGGTATTTGGCTTCTGCAGTGGAACCAGAGCTAAGGGCTTTGTCCTGCCAACCTGTTACTGGAAGTCTATACAACCACCCATAGAGCAGGCAATGCTCAGGGGATAGAAGCATCTTGGGAGACAAAACTAGAGGTGGATGCACCAGCGCATGCACAAGGACCAGGGTGTCATCGACTGCTTCTAAAGGTGCCAGGACCCATCCATCTCTCAGGGCAGCACTGTTCTCATTCCCCAAGGGTCAGAGAGGAGCTTCTAGAATCTAGTAATTTTGTTTTCTTGGAGGGTTTCACTGTGTAGCCCTGGCTGTCTTGGAACTCATTCTGGAGACCAGGCTGTCCTGACCTGGATCACCAGGAGATTCTCCTGCCTCTGGATTAATGGTGGACCCGCCCGCTGGGATTAAAGGTGTGTGTCACCACTGGACATCCATCTCGCCTAGTCATTTTAGACACAGTGTATTCTTAAATTAGGCCTCAGTGCTCTGGGAACTCTTACTGGGGTTCTATCTGCCCAGAGCAGGAGGCCAGAAACCTGAATCTTGAAGATGAGGCCTCTTCCCCACTCAGACAGGAGGGCTGAGGGTAGAGCCTGTTCCCCTTAGACAGCAAGGGTGAAGATGGACCTGAACAGGACCCAGCTGGGGGTAACAGTAGAGGTATCATAGTGTGCTCACAACTGGGTGTATTTTACAAAGTCCCACTGGACAGATGTGTAAGTATAATATCTGTGACGAGGTCAGGGTCCAGGCCTCAGGGTGTGGCGCAGCTGTGAGGTGTGTGTTGCTGCTGAGTGAAGACTGGGGAGATAGATAGCTGGGCCCTCAGTGTTTCTAGCTTCTTGGCGCTGTCAGAAATCAGAGAAGTACTGAGAAAAAGCTTTACTTTGGGTAAAGGGATGCACTCAAAGGCTGGGAGCATGCTTTTTTTTTTTTTTTTTTAAATAGACAGGAGTTCTGGCTGGTCTAGAACTATGTAGACCTGGCTGGCCAGGAACTCAGAGAGATCCACCTGCTCTGCCGATGAGTGCTGAGATTAAAGGCATATCTCACTATTTCTGGCCTATGGCTCAACTTTTATGGGGGTGTGGATTGATTTGTCACAAGTTAAGGTGGGGTGAGAGGAGGGAAATCTCTGGGAGGTCAGGATTTTTTTTTCTCCAAAGGAGTCCCCTCCCTCCGTTGCCCTTATGCATAATGGGAGCAGGAGATTTTATAATTCTGACGATACAAAGACGTTATTATAATGAAGCAAAAGATAGGTCGTGGTCACCTGGTTAATTTGGGATGGTCTTGTTTTTTTCCGAGTAGTCACATGTCCTGTTGTCATCCAGCTCTGAGTTTTTGTCAGCCCTGCCACTGCAGCTTACCTCTTGTTTCCCTGTACCTTCTCTAGCTCATCTCATGGGTAAGCCATGGCGGGATAGATGGCTCAGCAGTTAAGAGCATGTACTGCTCCTACAGAAGAGCCAGGTGGAATCCTGGCACCCACATCGGGCAGCTCACCTGTAACCCCAGATCTAGAAATTTGACACTACTAGCCTCTGGGCACCTGCAACTCATGTGTACGTACCCCCCCATATATATAATATTAAAATGATAAAAATAAATATTTTTTAAAAGAGATCTCTGATGGGGCTGGAGAGATGGCTCAGGGGTTAAGAGCACTGGCTCTTCTTCCAGAGGTCCTGAATTCAATCCCCAGCAATCACACTCACAACCATTTATAATGAGATCTGGTGCCTTCTTCTGGCCTGCAAACATACATATAGGCAGAACACTATACAGAATAAATCTTCAAAAAAAAATTTTTTTTTAAAGAGGTCTCTGAGATTAATAGAACTGGCAGAAACAATGGTGGAAATAATACTGATAAGGACAGCGACTACAAGGATGTTGAAGACCAGGGCACTGATGTACAGGCACTCGGCAAGGGCAGGGGATCATAGGCCTGGGCTCCAATAATATTACCTACCCTTTTCCTGTCTTTAGACTGGAGATCAAATGACAAGGAAGCTTGGAGAAAGTCACTTGCGATCCAGATGCTCTGACTAGGTCTCTGTCGACCTCCTTGTCCACTGCAGCCTCTCTACACATCTGGGAACCCTCTCTCCACTTTCACATACATCTCCTGGAGGGCTCACCACTGCTTGCGTGCTGTCTAGTGATCCTAACGAGCACACAAGCAGGCGCAACCAAGGCGTCTGGCCCAAGCAACTGAGGGAGGCTGGGCAGTGGTGGTGTGAAAGATATAGCTCTTACAAAGGATTTGAGCTGGGATGACCCTGAGGTTCCTCTTTACCAAGGAGGCTCTTGGCACGTGAGCCTGGAGATAAAGACTTCCTGTGGACATGCACTGAGTCCTTGGCACTCACAGCCATCTGAGACCTCAAAAAAATGACCCCACTCACATTTTTAGGATGGGGAAGGGCAGGACTAACAGGCCAAGGAGACTGAAGAGCATCTATCTGCCCAGGATCTGAAGGGATGCCCGTTCCGGGGACTGGGGAGGAGCTTCCTACAGTTTGTAGTGGGAAGGAGGCAGTCTCCTTCATTATTCCTTTCCCCCTGCCATTTCCTTCTTAATGGTCATCTCTGGCAGGTATGTGTTGGCTGTCCCATTTGTGCATGTCAGCAGGTGAATGATCAAATCTTGGATTCTGAGTTCCGGAGACGGAGGGCTGTGGCATTGGCAGCTCTGGTCCTAAGGAGGGAGCTCTGGCCTCACATCCACTTAGCGCCAGGGTCCGCCATGGAACTGTTTGCAGCCAGTGTCCTGGAGCAGCCTTCTGTGCATGGTCAAGAGAGCAGGGGGACTCTGGTGGGTGGTCTACAGCTACTGCCCACGTGGCGCAGTGGCCTTTGATGGGGTCTTTTGAGAGGGGTGGGGGATGCTGGTTTGCAAGGGCGGGCCACCCTACTTGGCAGGCTGAGCCTGTAATTTGTGTTATATATAGCGGGTGGAGCTGGCCAGCCAGGGAGGGTAGTGTGGGGCTGTCAGCAGGCCTGGTGCTCAGAAAGCACGAGTCTCAGCGAGGAAGACACGGCGCTGGAACCCATGGACACTTCCTATCCCCGTGAGGACCCCCGGGCCCCATCATCCCGCAAGGCCGATGCCACTGCCCACACAGCCCTCTCCGTGGGAACACCGGGCCCTACGCCACGAGACCATATGCTTTGGTCTGTCTTCAGCACGATGTACCTGAATCTGTGCTGCCTCGGTTTCCTGGCACTGGTCCACTCTGTCAAGGTTGGTTTCAAGGGTTTCGGGAAGGGCCGGGGTGGGAGAATGAGTGTGGGGTGTGAAGTAATGTGGGGTTGGGGGGATTCAAAAGAAAATTATTTGAAGGGGTCTCTTGGCATAGCCACAGTACCTCATCGAGTTTGGGAACAAGAGTCTGTCTATTAAGGGGTCTATTCACAGGAAAGGAAGACCTGGGTATATAGTCTCCCCAAAAGGGCAAAGCCCTTAAGGATTGCCCATAGAGGTTCACCACTCTCCCAAGTGGTAATAAATTCTTGGTTTCCCAGAGAGCTCCTCTCCTACAGGAGGCTCTCAGAGGCTGCTGCTAACCCGGTTAGCCACTCAATCTATATCTGCATATAACTATATCTATACAGCCTTTATTTAGGCTGGGGACATCATGACTCAGGACCCTGCCAAGGGCCAACCCGTGCCATGTTGGAGACCTTGGAGGAGGTGGGCCCAGCTCAGGGTAATGTCTCCTCAAACCATACCCCTCCATCAATATTTGGGGTCCAGCCTGTGCCCTAGAGTTGCTCTGGGTGGTCTATGGTCCCCTTGACATGATGAACATGTGAACATTTTGTCTCTGGTGCCGCCCTGCAGGCCCGGGACCAGAAGATAGCTGGGGACCTGGAGGCCGCAAGGCAGTATGGCTCCAAAGCCAAGTGCTACAACATCCTGGCTGCAATGTGGACCTTGGTGCCCCCATTGCTGCTCCTGGGGCTGGTGGTGACTGGCGCCTTGCACCTGTCCCGGCTAGCCAAAGACTCTGCGGCTTTCTTCAGCACCAAGTTTGACGATGAGGACTATAACTGAGAGTTCTGGGCCTGTCCTGAGCCAAGGACAACTGTGCCAGGTCACTGACCCCAGGCGCACAACACCAGCTTCTGGGAGCCTCCCATAGCACCTTGATCCCTGCCCAACCATGACCTCAGGGGCCACCCTCTTGTCCATGATGTATATTCGACACTGACCTACTCAGACCCATTAGACTTTATCTCTAACTTTCAGGGTCCTCAGGACCTGGCTTTTCCCACCTGTCCCCCACTTACCAGGCTGAGCCTTCATTCACGATTAAAGGTGGCAGATTCCAGAAATGTGTGGGCTCCTTCTTCCTCGTGGTAGTGGTGTAGGATGCCCCAGCACCAAATCCTCTGGCCAACCCCAAGTCATCTTATTCTGTCTTCTTGGCTGCCCCTGACTACTGCTTTTGCTTAGCTATAGTGTAGCCTGTGGCTTCTGGGGTGGAGGAGCTCAAGTATTTTAGGATGAAGTTCGGGAACTCAGGCCTTTGATTCTTACTGCCCTGCGGTTGGATGGGTTGTGTCCCAGAACATTCGAGGGTGGGCGCCCTGACTCCCCATATGCCGCAGTGCTCTTCTTCCCCCCTGGGTTAGTAAAGGCTGTGGGGAAAGTGGGCAGGGTCCATTTCCTATGGGGGCTGGATACCAGACTCACACAGGACAGCACATGTAGACACAGACAGCCTTCTTCCCACCTCTCCTTTCACACACATGCTCAGAGGCACACAGGTAGCGGATATGGATAACTTCTGAGCCACCCGTGGCACTAGATGAAAGTTCCCACATTACTTCTCTCTGTATGTCACATGCCCCTGGTGCACACACTAGATTACACACACTAGATTACACACACACACACACACACACACACACAACCTCATAAGGCTGCAATGAGCCCCTTGACCCCTACACAGGGTTTTACTGTGGCCAGCTAACAACAGAACAGGGGTTGAACACCCCACCCAGGTCCCTTTCCTCCCCAAAAGCCCCCTCTCCCTGCCAGCTTTCTAGGTTGGAAGTCTTTGCCTAGCTGCCTTACTTGAGACTCTGAGCAGCTTCCCATCCTGTTATGTCTGTAGCCAACAGCTGGCCCCGCAGAGCTCCAAGTTACTGACCGCGTGCCAAGCCAACCTCAGGAGATAGGGCCTTATGCTGACCTAGGTTTGGGGCTGGAGATGGAGCTAGTGCTGGGCACTAGCCCAATTGTGGACCAGAGACAAGGACAGTGTGTGGCTGTGCTTAGACAAAGGTGGAGACAGTGTGCTGGCATGAGCCCCTGGTCTAGCTCAAGAAAAGGTCAACTAACTCCTGCTGGCTACAGAGAGACCTGTGTGTTCCAGGGTAGATGTCTCCAAACATAGGGTATTTTGCCAGCCTCCATATACCGTGAGGCGCAGGACTGCCTATTTTGTGCCCCGGCGCTAAGGACAGCACGTATGACCAAGTGAGGCGGCAGCAGAAGCAGCTTCCCCCGTTCCCCGGTTCCAGGCTGCGAGGCTAGACCCGGTCAGCTGTGCCAGCCTGCACACCCTATCAGCCACCATGGTCTCAGAAGCTCACCATCCTACCTGCACAGAAGTGACCACATACACACAGGAAGTATGCACACCCAGGTACTGGGCTACATCTAGTCTTTGGATGCGGTGCCACCAACCGACTTGCTGATGTTCATGCCCAGTGCTGGTTTTTGGGTAACATATGAGCATCCACTTCTGCCAGGGTAGCTCCTGGCCCACCATAAAGAAGGTGGAGGCGCCCCGCCTTGCCCCTGAGCTTTGAAATCACCACTCAGCCCCAGGTGCAAAGGGACATGAATCCAGCACACACCCTGACCTCAGGAGCTTTTGCCAGCACTGACTTTAATTAGCCAAGTTGGCGTGGTAGAGGGGCACAGATTTTACCAGGATCTTGGTCCTACGCTGTGCACCTTGTTCTGGGGAAACACTGATAGTCTACCAGGAGGGAAGCCTGCGTAGCCTCGCCACACCGATGGCTAGGACTATGGCCTGGAACCCTGTCCATCTGACTCCAGTTCCTCTGGTCGCCAGTCCCATGTCCATCTACCTTGTCCTTTGAGAGCACTGCCTTCCTTCTCACAGGCTGCATGGTTAAGGATAGCTCTTAACCTAGCCCACTTTGCTAGATACCATCTGAAGTCAAAAGGAGTCAAAGAATAGGAAGTTCAAAGCCAGAAACCCTTGGGCACTTGGCTAGGCCCACCTGGTACCAAATGCATGCCACAGGAAGCTCTTCTTTGGACTAGCTGAGCCCCTGACTCCATGACCCACTTGCTGGCCACCTTCTCAGCAGAGCTGCTGGCCATTTCCCACCCAGTCCTTTGACCAAAGTATTCCAGAAACCAGAGATGAAAAAGAAAGTTAAGGCCTAGGGAGACAGCAAAGTGGGGAGATAAGGAGTAGAGAGCTGGGTTCAGCCCCAAAACGAAGAGTGTATGAGGCTCTAACTACACGGTCCAGGACTGGAGAGGGTGAGGAGAGTAAGGAGGAGGGGGAAGGTGCCGAAGGAACACCCCAGAGACTTAACGGTTCAGGGTAGGATCCAGATTGAGAGACTGTGGGGTTGGAGATGCAGCTGAGGGCCCAGGTACTGAAAGGAAGTTCTAATGTCAAAACTCCTATCAGGAAACACTGGAGAGCTGGAACTTCTGGGCAGCTATGGGGGATGACCTTTGTATCCGGCCAGCTGAGTAGGGAAAGGAGACCTTGTGTCCTGCAAGAGAGAGGGTTAATCCTTGAGACCACACACCAAGACCCCTGGGTCACATGCCCGAGGACTCTTCCCTACCTGGTGGCAGAGGGAGCTGGGCCAGCGATGGCCACAGCTCAGCTTCTAGCAGGGGCGCCCAGGGCTCTGCACGGGTTGTGACCTCAAGTGTCACCGATTCCTTGGAAAAGGCGAAGTTGAGCTTGTTCCCCAGGTAGGAAATACCAGAGACAGATACTCTGGAGACCAGGTCTGGACACAGGGGGTCAAAGGTCACACCTGCCTCAGTGATCCTATGAGGAGAGCTGTGTGAGGAGGGTTTTGACAAGTAGGGGTTCACTGCTGGTCACTGTACTCACCTGAACCCCGTGAACCCGAAGAGTGCTGCCTGTAGGAAGCCCCCCATGCCTGTCAGGAAGTTCACTGCGCCAGACCCATCTTCATTCTCGGTCCACACCTGCAGGCAACAAAGAGTAGCTATCACCTGAGGCTACCATCTGAGGGTTGGGCGGGCCCCTTACCCTGCTGAGGCTACCACAGTGGGAGCAGACAGAGGCCGAGGGTGGTGGGTAGGAGCCAGGCTGACCTTGAAGGGCTCGGTAACATTGGTGAAACTCCGGTTCAGGAGGACCTGGGCCTTTGAGGGGTCCTTCAGTTCCATCCAGCCCACAGCAAACATGCTCTGAGGTCACAGAATTCAGACATGAAAGCTGTTAGACCCATGTGGGAAGGAAGGTGAGGATGGTAGGGCAAAAGCTACCTGCCAGGCTCCTCACCCAGGTCATGGCAGGGCCCTGGGGAGATGTCACGGCCTCATAAATCTCCAAATTTTTCCTTCGGATGTCAGGTCTCAGGGGAAAGGGGACTGGGTATCCCAGGAGTACAACGTCCGCCTGCTTCACTTCTTCTCCTGATTTGGGGGAAGGTATCAGGATAGTGATAGGTTATTGGTCAAAGAGATGAGAATGTGCCAGGGTCAATGTGAGGGTTTTGAACAAGCAGGGGTCCTTTAAAGGACTCAGGACCACTCACCACGTTCATAGCCATCAAACTCGGGGTGGAAGTTCTGCTCAGAGTCAAATGGCACCTTGATCTTGTCAGCCACCTCCAGCCACTGGTTGGGGACAGGCAAACCCAAGTCCTTGGCCAATGCAACGGCAAAGCGCAGGCTGGAGAGGGGACAAACCACGGTTGTATGGCTTCTGACTGGGCCCTGTCTGCTGTGCTGGGGCTAGGGTTAGGGAAGGGGATGTTTTATGTCTGACCTGTTCTGGACCAGGACATTGGTGTACACAGAATTGTTGACTCCTGAGTGGTACTCATCGGGGGGCATGACTCCTGGTCACACGGGGCCACCATGACAGTTAGGGTAGGAGCTCAGGACATGCCCTTTCATGATCAGAGTCCATGCCAAGCTGGCCACTGCATGCCCCAGTTCTCACCTTTCAGGTGGTACATCTTGTCCTGGGGGCTCCATTCTACCCGGCTGCACCAAAACTCAGCCACAGCACTGACCACATTCCAGCCACCAGCCTCTCGGAAGAGCTGCAGGTCCTGGAGAGTGAGAGGAGCACAAAGGACCGGGCTCAGAAGATGGCCACTATGCTTGAGCACAGGCAAAGCAATGCCCTCTGCACACAACTTCCTAGGGCCATGGGGCGGAGCGTAACCTCAAGAGGTGCCTCACCTGAGTGCAGTGGTAGTACAGCTGGAAGGCCAGCACCACGGCGCCATTGACATGGATCTCCTGGGTCCCGTAAATGTCCTCAGGGCAGACCTCTAGGCCAGTGCTTGCACTCTCCCAAGCAAACTTGGCTCCCTGTGAGGAAAGAGGATGGGATGGTCAGGTCTTGATCTGGGGAAAGGCAGCCCCACCCTACCAAAGGGACAATCCTTTGTGGAAGAAAGAGGAGGTATAGGGCTCTGGTGGTCACTGCATGGCACTGGAAAGACTGTGGGGCAGGGGCCTATGGGGTGGTACCCAGGACCCATTACCCGGTAGCCCAGGTTCCGGGCATTCTTCAGGGCCCCTCCCAACGTACGGACTCGGTACTCCAGGATGGCCCTGGCAGCTTCTGGGTGGAACATCAAAATATTTGGGAACATCCAGAGGTCCTGAGAGGGTGAACCGTTTGGGGGCTAAACAGGTGTCCACACCTTCTTCCTCCCTTACTCTTCCTTATTGCACACATTCCATCCCGCCAAGGCTCCCAGCCAACACACAGCAAAGCAGACAGCTGGGGGCTTGCTCCCTCCCTCCCCTCTGGCGGTCCCTTTGCCTCTCCCTGAGTCCCCCATCTCACACTCACCCAGACCCACCTGGGGCTTCCCCAGCCTGCCCATTCCAATGCTATCTATCCAGCCTAGACAGGCCAGAGTTCTGGTCCTCAGGCTAGGCAGAATTAGGAGAGGCTCACGGGCTCTAGTTTGCCTCAGGCCTCCAGGGAGAGCTTCCTCTAAGCACTCTGGCTGCCTGACTTTAGCTTCCTTTGGCTTTATCTATCAAATGGGCCACAGTGCAGACTTCACAAGGTGTCAGACGTGCGACTGGCCTGGGGCTTTTCTCCTCAATGCTTCCTCACCCAGTGGCCACTGACCTCCATATGCTACAAACTTGATCTCTCTAGCCCTTGCTTCCCTTCAGTGGGCTACTCCTGGTAGTCTCAGACCTTCCCAGACTGTATCTCCACTGTGTCATTCCTCTAAAACGTCGCTATGGCTTGTACCCTGCACACTCTGAGGCTCTGGAGGTCTTGGCCTTCAAATATTGCACACCCTCAGCCTTCGTACCTTCTGTTGTTCTAACCTGGATCACTCTTTTTTTTTTTTTTTTTAACCAAACTCTTATACTACTTCTTCTGAGAAACTATCTCTTCCAGGAAGCCCTCCTATCTATAGTTCCATGTTTGGTCTTGATCTTAGGTTGTGCAAAGGCAATGCCCAAAATGTTTACATGCAGCTCAACCACTGTAGGATGTACCTGGTCCCAGAAGACATGGCCCCAGTAGCATTCTTCCTGACTCCCATTGGAGAGGCCTCCAGGGCTAAGCCCATGGCTGATGAATCCTTGGGTGCCAGGCTGGGGAAGCTCACTGAGCAGGTAGTAGAGGGAGCCACGAAGGGCCTGGTGTAGGGGCAGGGGCCCAGCCACATCCAGGCCACAGCTTGCCCAGAGCTGGGCCCAGGCATCTGCATGGGCCGTATGCAGAACACCCCTGGTCTGCAGCTGCAGGGCCTCAGCAAAGCATCCCTGGGCCTCAGCCTGGCTGCCACCCACCACAGTCAGAAAGTCCCAGGTCCTGTCCTTCTCATCTTCCCCAAGGGTCAGAGCTGGAGGAACTGGCAACCACAGCATATGTATTTCCTGCTGAGGCTCCCCTGGCTGCTCAGGGGTGAGGGTGTGGCCATGCAGGTACCTGAAAGGGCATAGCGGAGTCTCAGGGAAGGACTTCCTCTCTGGGCTACGCAGATTTACCTAGTATATTCCTTACCGGCCTCCCTGGAAGTCAGGCCCCACATGCAGGTCCAGGTCTGGGCTTTCTGGGGAGAAGGTTGCCTGTAGCAGCACTGTGATGGGCTTGTTCCCTGTGGTCAGGCGTTCAATGGACACGCTGAAGGCCAGTACGTGGGGTAACACACGGTGAGCATAGATGCATTGGGAAGCCCGGAAGCTGGGGCCTTCCAGGGTGTGCAGGAAGGAACCTAGGGAGGGTTGGGAGCCTCAGTCACCCTGGGAAAAGTCAAACGGACTCAAAGCTTTGGACTCCAATAACATAGAGCACCACAGACTTCCTGGGCTGGGAGTGGGGTCCCTGAGACCTCAGGTTGCCTCTCCCCACTGTGCAGTGGGCCCACCCAGATGGAAAGCAAGACCGAGCCCATCTTGGGAGGCAGCCTTTTATGCCTTTTCTTTCTTTCTTTCCTTCTTCCTTCCTTCCTTCCTTCCTTCCTTCCTTCCTTCCTTCCTTCCTTCCTTCCTTCCTTCCTTCCTTCCTTCAATTAAAGACCATTTGTTTACTCATTTTTGAGATGGGTCATGCTGTGTACTGGAGGTTGGGCTCCAGTACACCTTCCCAGTGCTGAGACTACAGGCCTGAGTCACATATTGGCTTTTGTGGCTCCTTTCCCTTGTGAGACTTCTGGAGTCTCACAACTGAGGAGTCCCTCTCACCCAGAGCAACAACTTGACCCGGACTGGTGGCAGCTAACCTGTGTTGGTGTCCAGGGTAAAGGTCTCTGTCAGCTGTTCTGTTCCTTCAGGGGCTTCTAACCGGACATTGAGGGGGCTGGGCAGAATTGCCCGGTGAGAGCCCCCTCCAGCTCCGTTGTACACACCGATTACATGTATGGTGTCATGATACACACGTGTACCTAGGTATGAGTTGGTTACAGTGGCCCAGAGCCTGGAGTCACTGGGCAGACGGTGGGTGCTGAAGATGGTCGGGTCATCTTTAGAGTCGTCCATGGAGAGCTGTCTCAGTCCAGGTGGCCTGGAGCAGGCGAGTTGACAGTGATTGGCTGGACTTCCCTCTGCAGGCTGACAGTAAACCCTCACACTCGGTTTGAGGGAGGGAGGGGCTAGCTGGGTAGCAGTACTTAATAAAGCGGCCACCAAGGGGTTGCTCCGAGAACACCCTTAACTCAACTGAACCAGCCAGGAACTCAGCTCCCGCAACAGGTCTCCCTGATCCAGCTTCCCGAAGCAGGAAGAGCTGAGCGTGGAAACTTAAGTTCCGCGCTGGCCCCAAATCCTCAGGGAGGCTGAGGCTGGAGGGTGGAGGCACCGGAACCCGGGGATGTGGAGGGGGACAGCAAGCGACGAGATGGGAGAGCAGGAACCGGATGCGGTGGAGGACGACGGTTGGGGGGTGGGTGGCCGGGGGCCGTAGCTAGGGAGGAACGGGACTTGTTTGGAAAATGGAAAGAGGAAGCCGGTGTGTGGGTTGGGGAGAGGCCCAGAGAGGAGGGTCGCGGGTTGTCAGACAGGATGAGAGGCGAGGGAGTAAAGGAGCGTTCAGAGTACTTGGTGCAAGAGACTGAGGGCGGGTTGGGGAAGAGGGTACAGGCAGTTTTTGCGACTCACCGCAGCCCAGCTCCGGACAGTGCGGGGCCCGCGTAAATAGGCTCTTGCCCGTGCGAGCTGCCCCTGGCGGGAGGAAGAAGAAGCGTCCCTGCCGCGTGGCAGGTGGGCGGGGCCGGGTCTAGGCGGAACCCGCGAAACTGTCTTGGTCTCTGGGGCAAGTGCTGCGTGCTGAATCCTGCTCTAAGATCTATGCAAAGGTGGAATGAGACTGAGATCCCTCTCTACACATTAGTCACTAGGAAGGACACTGACCAGTCCTCTTGGACAGTCCTTTCCTTTGCTGGGACCTCACCCCCATTGATCCGGCTGCCTACCTTCCTCACTGGACCTGGGCCTGTCTTGTCCCAGTCTCTCATCAGTTCCCCGGTCTGACTCAGACTCTGTATTTGTGGATCAGTGCAGTCAGAACCTGGGCTCTACTTGCTCCAGGATCAAACCCAGGCCTCCTGGATCCACCGTAGAGACTCCTGCTGCTCTTTTCAGTGTCCACCCAGGGCCGCAGCCAGCAAGCAGGGAGGATAAGGTCACAACCCAGTTTACACAGAGGATTGCACCTCACCTCAGCCTAAATGCTCTCTGCCTGCCTTGGATTTCCAATCTGTTTCCCACCCTTCTCTATTGTACAGGCACCACGGATTAAGCCCCAAGAAATTTCTTTTCCCCAAATCAGGCATTTAGACAAAAGCCAGGATTCTGCTGGGCAGTGGTGGTGCATCCTTGAGAGGAAGCGGCAGGGGGGATTCTGGGTTTGAGGCCAGCCTGGTCTACAGAGTAAGTTCCTTTACCTCTGAAAACCATTAAAAAAAAAAAAAAAAAGTTTGGATTCCCTCAGGGACTTAAGAAGATGATTCCTACTAGCTAAAAGGAGTCATTCTCCTAATCTCTGGCAAAAAGGCACCTATGGCTCCTCTATTAACCTGTGCCTGTGGTGCCTACTAGCATATCAAGGTCTTTGCTAGCCTTTAGGCTCCCTCGGTCCCTACAGAAGTACTTGTTACAGAGCCATCCTGGCTGGCAAACCCCGCCCCTACCCTAAACCTCTCCAACCCCTGAGCTTCCCTCCCCTTCCCTCCCCTCATCTTCTCTAATTCCTATGTAACCCAGCCATTTTGGCTAGGACCACTCTTGGTCTTTTGGTTCCCATGCGCTCTCTTGCTCTATCTCTCCTCTTATCTTCTCTTCCTCTCTCGGCATCCCCCCCACCCCCAAAGGCCTGGTCTATTCTTCTGGGCTGGTTCAGTCTGGACCTTTGAGATGCCTCTGGCTGAACTCTCCCTCATATCTACAACAAAGCCTCCTCAACCATACCTAGGAGTTGCCGGGTCCTTATTTTTCGTTTACCACCCCAGGCTTCCTTAGTATTTGTGGTACTTTCCCTAAATATTCCCTCTCTTTTTCCCTTCTCAAGTACTTCTCTTTGAAAAATCTTCCCAGAGCCTTTATGAGTCACAGGAATTCTTGGCTCTCATCTCTCCAGCCCTTGCTACACTAAGTTGTCCTCCACAACCTGTATTGGCAGCCCTTGTCAGTGATTGCAGGGAGAGAAAACGCAGTGCTGAGACCGGTAAGCCGAATTCCATCTTAGGGACCCCCCCCCCCATCCCCGGTACAGTGAAGTCCTTAAGTACTGCAGAAAAGGATTTCAGGACAAGTCAACACAGAAGCACGTTTGGGTAGAGATAGTAACCTCTTCCAGGTTGAGGGAAGGAAGTCAGAGACACGTAGTAACTGACTCGATGTGGCTGGAGAGACTGAAAACAGCTATGTCAAGATTAACATAGAGAAGAAGCTAGGTGACTGTTAAAGACTGGATGTCCTTCCCCCTTAGGCTGGTTTCACCATAGGCTAGATAAATAAAGTGTGCTAGGGATAGTTTGCAAAGACTGGACGCCCTTCTTTCCTCCCCTGGCTTCATTTAAGGAATAGAGTATGTGTGAGAAAAACCAGCCACACACAAACGTGAAAGGTGGGTGCTCTGTAAAGGCCCTATAAAGAGCCGTGTGTCTCACAACCAAATGCTTTTCAGGCTTTTCCTTCAGCTCACTGGACCTTTCCTATTTATTTTTTATTATGCATTTTAATAATGCTTTTATTTTTATTTATTTATTTTTTGAGTGGTTGGCCTGGAACTTGCTTTTGCAAACCAAGCTGGCCTCAAACTCACAGACACCCAACTTACTTTTGCCCCCTGAGTGCTGGGGTTAAAGATGTGCACACTACATCTAACTATTATTTATTTGTTTTTATTTAATTAGAATATAATTGCATCATTTCTGCCTTCTGTCTTGCTCCTCCTAGGTGTGTCCCTCTCAAATTCACAGGGCCTCTTCATTAACCATTGTTGTTACATATTCATAGAAATGAATAAATATATAAACACAACCCTTAAGTCTGTTCAGTGTTGCCTTTAAGTATATGTTTCTAGAGCCAACCACTTGTTATTGGAACACCAATAGGTGGTGTGAAACTAAAACAGGAGCCACATTGTTATACATTATTACTAAGTGTCCATACCTTACAAGAATAAGTCTCTGTTTCCTAAGCCTAATGTATCCTGCAAACCATGTTTTCCAACATACCCTGTGTGTGGCTCTGCTGGCAGTCTGACATCTCTGGATAGCCATTGGTTTGCGCTCAGTCTATGATGACGGACTCCTTTTCCTCAGTGGGGTTCTAAAAGTCTCCCCTGATCTGGAAGACCCCAAGTCTTCTAAGGAGCATTATGTAGCCCTCAGGGCAGATTATAGGCCAGACCCTTTCCTGAAAAGAAAACCACTCCAGCAGGCATCTGGGAATTCCTAGAAATGCCTTACCCTGCTAAGGATCTTAGTCCAACAGTGACCTTCAATTGCACTTGGAGATTTCCCCCTCACCCATAGGATAATTAAGTTCTCTATTTTCCTTCTTGTGATAAGACCAGGCTACTGCATGGAAAATGAGACGCTGTGCCTCTACGTGCAAATAAAGTATCCCTGACCCCCTGACTCCAGCAAATCAAACACATTTACCCTAGAAATTCCTCCGACTGCCCAAGGTTTATAAATCTCTGATTTCAAATAAATGAGATGCTGGGTGTGCATGCACGTTGCTGGCTGCGTGATACCTTCAACCTTCCACCATGACTGCCTGAGATTTGTGATTCATTTCCCACTGACTCCATCTCACCAGGCCTGCTCTCTGGGGCTTACCAGGCCTGTGCCTTGGCTGTCAGCTGACCAGGCATGGGCTTCCTCTTGCACCTCTGCCGCACTTGGCACAGCAGCTTAACCAAGAGCTCTAACACTTTGCTATCGCCGTAGGCTTTGGAACACCTGACCTTCCGCTGCCACTGGTGACCTCATGCTAAAAGAGCTAAACTGAAACGCTCTGTGGAAAACCTTTTCCGCACCCCAGCTTAACGCACATGGGCCTCACCCTAAAACACTCTGCCCCTGAGGGAACCCCTTTGCTGTCCTGAAGCCAAGTTCAAGGACCCTGCAGAAATCCAGGCCTGCTGAATGGAGAACGACAACCCTAAATTCCTGAACCTGTAAGGATTAGCCTTTTGCCTTACGAAAATGTCTTCTCAGATACCCTTTCCATAATATGTTTTCTTGCACTTATTTTTATTGCCTCAATTGTCTCGACAGCTGTTTTCTGTCAACCCTAATCTTTTTCCATAAAAGGAACCTCAAAAGCCAGTGAGGAGCTGCTCTCGGAAATCCTGACTTTGGGAGAGGCAGCCTGCTCTAAATTCACTTGGTTTAATCAGACACTTGATAGAATTGTTTCCCCCCCTCAGGTCTAACAGAGGGTCATCCCTGGGGAAGACTAATTTTCTCTCTTTCAGCAGTAGTTGATTATGGCTTTTCAGCTACAGGAGGGGCCCCATGAGCTTTCCCTATCTACATTTGGATGTCAACCGTTGTTGGAATTGTACAGGTCTTTAGGCGGCTTGTGGTTGAGATTTGGTGGGTGTAGCTTCACCACCACAGCTAGAATGCAGGTTCACAGCAGAGGCCTTGGTCTTCTGGCTCTCATAAGCCCTGCCCCTGGGACTGTTCTTTGATGTTCCCTGAGCCTTAAGTGCAGGAGTTATGCTATATCAGTTGGGTGGCTTTCTACAATGTCCTCCTTCCGTCAGGTCCCAAGAAATTCCTTTTCCTAAAGTCTGGCATTTAGACAAAAGTCAGCATTCCCTCAGGGAATAGCGAAGATAGTCCCTGCTTGCTAAAAGGACTCTTTACTGAGGCAAAAAGGACCTATGACTCTTCCATGAACCTGTGATTGTGGTGCCTATTAACATATCACGGTCTCTGCTAGCCTCTAGGCTCCCTCAATCTCTGCTCACAAAGTAACCTTTTCAAAGTCCTACACCGCAGCTCGCAGGCTCCCTTTCTGCCAGGTACCCTTTGCCTTACAACCCTGGAGACATAGTGATAGAATTGTGCAAAAGAGTTACACGGCGGGTTCACAAATCACACCACGCGACTGGTTCCATATGGGAAATTTATTAAGGGAAGGGGAAGGGGAAGGGAAGGTAAAGTGAAAGGGGTCACAGGGACTGTCTCTGGGCAAGGCAGAAGAGAAAGAGAAGAAGAGCTTCGAGTTCTCTTATAAGGTAGTCCAGAGCATGCGTGGTCCGTAGGTGGCTTCACAGATGCCTGATATCCGGTTTTTCAGGTCCCTTGGGGCTAGCTGTAGAGATGCCTGCTTACGGCATATATGCCAACACATATGCCTCCCTCCAGCCCCATTCGCTCTGCTTTCCCAAGAGCTAGCCTGGGGCAATGAATCCCGCTTTGTGTCCTTTTCCTTCTCTGGAGAGCTACTGAGGATTGCAGCTGGCCCGACCTGAGGTTTCTTTTAAATTCTAATAAAATTGTCCTTGAGCTTCCATTTGAGTCTCAGATTCTTTTATTAATGAGACTAAGAAAGACAAAAGCTGGGACTGGAGAGATGGCACAGCGGTGAAGGGACCATGGCACTCTGGCAGAGGACATAGGTTCCATTTCCAGAACCCACATGATGACTCACAACCATCTGTAACTCTAGTCCCAGAGGATTCAGGG